CCCCCTTATTATATAGCTCAGGAATGGGCAACATTTTTTTTGTTCCCAAACTTGACCCAACTGTCAAAACCCCTTGTACTTTGCAAGTCTCGCCATCCTCCCTTTTTAAGCCCCTGATCTCGGATCGCAAAGCCAAGCAGGATTAAACTCTGTCCATCTTTGCTGATGCACACACGTTATTTTAACAACAGGCTTGCTACCCTGTGTCATCTCCAGGACAGGGTGTGACTCCTGCATGTTGTGCAACGATGGCTTGCAGGGTGGAGTAAGGAAGGGAAGAAAGCAATTACCCCAGGTCTCCGGCAAGGTGTTCTGAGTACTGTCAGTATGTTACTCTGCCTCTAATTTAAGCCACTCTTAATTCGACTGCCACTCGAGGTCTGAGTCCATTGATTCTAGCTGACGCGCAGGCCACCTGCATTATTGTTGAAAAATAATTTCCTCAATCACATCGACTCTCCCAAATGCAGCGGCTTTCAGGCTCCCACCACTTAGTCCTCACTTCTCTCTACCAGCTTCCAGAGAAAATATAGTTTAGTCTCTTTAAAAACAATGGAGATTTCTGTGTGCCATTTGTAGCTTCTCCATGAGCTACTGAGGAAGAGTTTGGATCTGTCATTTTTGGCCTCCGTTTCCTAAGCTGTACATCCGAGGAGCAACAAGCAGACTTCTGCCCAGTTCCACCACATTCTTACCTTTTTATACCACAAATGGGTTTTTGTTAATAGTAAGAAGAACGTGAAAGGTTATCTGCCTAGCCAAGCTTTTTCTAAAATATAATCAAGTTGCGTGAAAGGAGGCTGCATTTGAGTTGGTATTTAGGACAAGAAGTTACCTACTAGATGAGCCGGTAAGAACGCGTGAACACAAGGCTGAGCATCCCAAATTCCACCTAAGGTCCTGGACTTTCGTTTTTGATGGCACATGTCAGCAGTTTTCAGCACAATACGCCTCACTCATCATGTTTGGAACAAACTCTCTGGGGCTGAAGTCGCATAATGGCAGGTTCTGCATGTGTGCCGTGACACAGGAGTCCTTTCCACATCAATCCTTGCCCCCATGGTTCGTTCGTTCTTTCCCCCTAGTTGCAGATCAGAATTTAATCTCATGAATAAGATGCTATGTGATATGTCAAAAGTATATTGTCTTTGCACTCTGGACACAAAAGACTTCCCAGATTGAAGGAAATACTTTTAAGCAATGAGGCAAAGAGGAGGGAGGGTGAGGCGGGCTGGGAAGAAGCAAACTAAGATTATAGTAAGTAATTTCATTATTTGCCACTCTTACATACTTTCTGAAGTAGAAGCACTGACAAAATGGGGATGTGTGTGGTTTTTTACACTCTATTGCTAATTTAATACTTCTTTCTCCAGCAGAAAAGGAATTAGCTCTTGACTGATTTAGTATAATAATAATAATTTATTATTTATACCCCACCCATCTGGGCGGCTCCCAACAGAATCAATGATAGTAATAATAATAAAGCAATAAAACATCAGACATTAAAAACTTCCCTAAACAGGGCTGCCTTCAGATGTCTCCTAAAAGTCAGATAGTTGTTTATTTCCTTGACATCTGAGGAGAGGGCGTTCCACAGGGTGGGCGCCACTACCAAGAAGGCCCTCCCATCAGAGTATGGAGATCTTCAAGGCTCTTTCTTAAAAGCAAGACTAAGGGCGCTGGAGGAAGCTGCAAAAATGCCTGAAGAGATGTGCGCGAGTTTGCACCGGGCTGGAATCAAACTAGAAAGCCGTTGTCTGTTCCCCAGAGTGAAAGAGGGGCACTCATTGCTAAGATACTTTATGGTGCAGAAACAAAATTAAGTAATAACATACCCTCCAACATCAATCCAATTCCATATTCCTATTCCTTACCCTTGAACATGTCTCAGATGAAAATAGGGACGTCCTAAGGAAAAGCGGGACATTCTGGGATCAAATCAGAGATGGCTTCTGTAAATCTGGGATTGTCCCTGGGAAACAGGGACACTTGGGGGGGGGTGTAATAAGTGACAGATATACACCCAAATGCCTTTTCTTTCTGGACAGCAGGAAAAAAATGAACACCTCTCCTCAAACCTGTTCTTGGAGCTGGTGGTGGCATGTTGAGTAGTGGGCAGCATGGTGGGCAGAGGATGTTCACCCGACTTCCTGACAGCTGAGTTGCTGCTGCTTACCAGGAAGAAGATGAAATGGGGCAAGGTGGGCATGGCACAAACACACCAGCAGAGCAATTCAACTCCTCTGTGCTGCTGGTGCATTTGCACCACACTGACCTCTGCAGCACACCTTCCCTTCTATTTCAGTAAGCAGCAGCAACCCAGCTGTCAGGAGGCTGAGTCACCCGCTGTTCCTCTGTTCACTGCTTCAGTTCATTACCTATATTCTGGATCTTGAGGCATGAGGGCACCTGCAGACCGTGCGTATTTTACAGGAGCATACCCTGTAATTCAAGCGCATATCAGGAAATTTAGGTTTGCACAATTAGAGCAAATCAAAGAGCTCTGTCACTCCAGTGCGAAAATCCACTTTTAAAAAGAAGCAGTTTGGGAAGGTGACGGAGAAATGAACCGAAAAGCATAGAACAAATGATTAATGGGAGCATGTAGAATAAACATATCGAAAGTAAATCAGGATGAATGCAGGATAAATGCTCGTTGTCATATAACCTCCCTGCAAACAAGTCAGTACAAATGGTCAATACAGATTAAATGCAATCTCTGTGTAAGCTTTTAGCCAGGAAATCAGGATGAGTGCTGAATAAACAGGATGTCTAGAAGAGACCTGAATTAAGGCAACCCTGAAAATTTATTCTGAATTGGATTTGAAAGTATCTGCATAACTGAGCTTTTGAGTGACAGAAGAGGGAGTTCGGGGTTGTGTGTGTGTGTGTGTGTGTGTGTGTGTGTGTTAGGATTTCAACATTACAATGGTACATTTGTGCCAAGGGCTGTAGATTTGCTTCAAAATGTATTGAGTGACCTGTCCTGAGCAGCCTAATGGCAGAGCAGTCTTAAGTGAAATCTAGCAAAAGATGTGATAGGAGATTCCCCCTCCCTCCCCTTGTGGCTTATATCTGCATATTTTACCATTCTTACCCTCACCCAAACCTTTAATATCTTACTGAATTGAGTCATTCCATCTAGTACAATGAATTTCAAATCTGACTTTAAAACCCTGCGTGCCACAGTCCATTAAGCTTTGAACACACTGTCTCGCTTCATCTCATACATTACTTACATTCACTTACACGGCTGCCTTTTATGTTAAAATCTCTTGTCGCAATCTGATTGCTGATTGCTACACCATACAACTTCCCCTGCACTTCAGCATCACAAAGAAAGACCTTAGTCTTACATGGGAAGCTGCCGTATACCAAGTCACAACACTGGACCATTGTGCTCAGTATTATCTCTACTTGGTCCATCAACAGCTCTTCTGGGTTTCAGCCAGAAGGTCTTTCCCATCCCTACATGGGCTGAGATTCAACCTAGGAGGTTTGGGATTCTCCGTCCTGGAGATGTGGCCTTTTCCTAAAGGAAAAGAAGCGCAGCATATACCTTCAAACTAGAAGATCAGTTGTCTCCTAACTGAGAACAATTTCGTTTTGAGAAGACAAGGCATCCATTGTGGCTTCTCTTCCATGGATTGAAATCTCTGCCAAACTGGACATTCATATGACCATTGAGCAAGCTTTTTAGATAAGTCCACAACAGTTCCTGGGACACGGGTGGCGCTGTGGGTTAAACCACAGACCCTAGGACTTGCCGATCAGAAGGTCGGCGGTTCGAATCCCCCGACGGAGTGAGCTCCCGTTGCTCGGTCCCTGCTCCTGCCAACCTAGCAGTTCAAAAGCACGTCAAAAAGTGCAAGTAGATAAATAGGTACCGCTCTGGTGGGAAGGTAAACGGCGTTTCCGTGCGCTGCTCTGGTTCGCCAGAAGCAGCTTAGTCATGCTGGCCACATGACCCGGAAGCTGTACATCGGCTCCCTCAGCCAATAAAGCGAGAGGAGTGCCACAACTCCAGAGTCGGCCACGACTGGACCTAATGGTCAGGGGTCCCTTTACCTTTACAACAGTTTCTGTTCTCTGGAATTTGGAGATCTTTACAAGCCCACCTGCCCACACCAACCTATTCTAGTTATTCATGACTTAAAAGGTGTATGGGGCATATTTGGTCAAGCTTCTTTGCCTGGGTGAAATTCTTAGGTCCACAGTGGGCACTGCTGGTTTATGAGGTAGCGGCCAGAGGACGACACCAGTAAAAAACAACAACAATGGAGATGGTGTCTGTAAATTCCTGGCATCAGACTGACACCATGTTATTTCTGTTCCTGATGGTACATTGTGGGAATCTGCTGTAAAACACTTTGAGAGCCTATTGAGGCTACAAAACAGGATATCCATACTCATGAATATATAAGTGAATATTTTCTAGGGGTGAAGGGGTTTGTTGCTCCTCTGCTTTAGGTTCATCCCCTCCTGAATTCCAGTTTGGGTTGCTCACTTGTTGGGGCAGAGGCACAGCAACAGCCTCCAAACAGCAGCATCCTTGGGGGTGGGGGACAAGGAAGAGCTGCTTTTAGGATTGTACTTGAGGCCACCAACGCCTTGGAGGCTTTTTCGTTTAATTAAAAAAGGATGACTCAAATCAGAGGAGAGACTCCTCTTATGCCCGGATGGGAATCCCGGGATAAACCTGCGGCCATTTGCCCCTGCAACGGCGGCATCCCGCCGGCAGGTGGCGCGGCACCCGCCGCCTCCTCCCCGTTTCCCGCTAAAGTCAAAAGCAGCCGCTTCCCTCCGGCGAAGTTTTGTCTATGGTTCATGTAAATATATATATATCATGACGTAGGCGGGGTGTTCGTTTGGTGAAAAGGCAACGCCCCTTCTTAGCCTGCCTGTGCCTCGAGGTTAGAAAAAAGCTCCGCTTCCTTCTGCGCCGGCGCGGGGCTGGTAGGAACCAAGTGTAGCCGGAACTTAAGTTTCTAGAACGTGTCGGGCGGAAAGGTGGGGGGGGTTTCCGCCGGACTCCCCGTCGAGGAACGCGGGGGGCGTGATGTCGCGCGTGGGGCTGCTGTGTCGGTTGGGCTCGCGGCTGCTGGCTTCGGGAGCGGGGATTCGGAGCGGGTACGTGGGGGGGGTTTCGTGCGCGCGCCCCTGCTCTCAACCGTCGCCGGGCGCTGGTTTCCCCCTCACAGACACCCACCCCGTGACCCCAAATAAGGGGCTCCCGTTCCCTCAGGCAGAAGTTCCACAGGTGAAGGCGGGCTCCCCTCTCCGCACGACTCAGGGGTTGGGGGGGTGGAACCCAAGCTTTACCTGTTGGGTTTCTGCCTGTTAAACGCAGCAAGGGAAAAATGTGGAGAGTTTCGTTGAAGCTTTTTGGAACCAGTGTTGGAAACTTGAGATTGGAAAGCTGGGAGCTAAAGGGCACCTGGAACCTGGGTTATGGTCGACTGTCTAGGCGCGCCTTTTTTATATATGACAAAGCTGAAAATGAACGAACTGCAGTTAAAATATTGTGTTCCTTTTTTCACATGGTCCAGTCCTTCCCCTTCCCACCCCCCCTATTATTCCCAAGAGAGTCTCTTCTCCAGTCTTCAGAGAGGAGCTGGAAGTGAGGAGGCAGAAAAAAGCTCCCCCTTTCCTTCCACTCTGCAGTTTTAATCTGAAATCTTAGGCGCAGGAGTTCAGAAACTGCTTGCGCTAATGAAATGCCCTGTCGCAAAATGCGCCTAGGACAATGGGAGTTTCGAAAGACTGCTTGAAACTCACTTTCCGAAAGTGCATATTGGTTTTTTTCTCCCCAACATGTTGAGAGGGGGAGAGGAAGGGTGTGCACCTGTAGTAATTTGTGGTGCTCTACTTTTCTAAGTTGTGGACAGGGCATCAAACAGTGGTTTCATACCACAACCACCGCACATCTATGCTGTGGGGTTAATATTTTTCTCTTGCCCCATGCTCCGTGCCTTTGTGGTTGCTTTGTTTTACTGGGGCAAGGGAGAAAGGGAAAAAAGCTGTGCAGTATGTGAATAAGGGTACAGTGGTACCTCGGGTTACATACGCTTCAGGTTACATACGCTTCGGGTTACAGACTCCGCTAACCCAGAAATATTACCTCGGGTTAAGAACTTTGCTTCAGGATGAGAACAGAAATAGTACTCTGGCAGCAGGAGGCCCCATTAGCTAAAGTGGTGCTTCAGGTTAAGAACAGCTTCAGGTTAAGAACGGACCTCTGGAACGAATTAGGTACTTAACCCGAGGTATCACTGTATATGTCACTGCACTGTGAGAAGTGAGGTTACAGGGAACCAGGCAGAGGGCCTTCTCAGTAGTGGTGACCACCCTGTGGAAGGCCCTCCCATCAGATATCAAGGAGATAAATAGCTATACAACTTTTAGAAGACGTCTGAAAGCAACTCTGTATAGGGAAGTTTTCAGTAGTTGATGTCCCACTGTGTTTTTATATTTGTTGGAAACTGCCCTGGGTGACTGGGGTGACCCAATCAGGTGGGCAAAGTACAAATAATAATATTTTTATTATTACTACTAGCAGGGAACCAGACCGATTTTCAGGAGCCTGACACGTAAACAAGTCTCTTATGACAACATATACAGTACTAGAGTTGGGCGATGCTGGGTTTTCAGTATTGCGGTGTATCACCAGCCAAACATAGTTCTTTGGCGATATACTGTGATGTTGAAAAAAGCTGCGTTGGCCCCAGCTGGCAAGATGCTGTGTGAAACTGCCATAGTTCTCATCGTGGGAGCTGAGGTGCTTTCACCCCAGCACCTCGCAGGCTGTGGCCAATATAGCTGGCCCCAGCCTGCTGCTCAGCCGGGGGGCAGAAATGCTCCTGCCCCCAGCGGAGCCAGCCTTGAATCCCCTGTCACTTGTGCATGACTGGCAGGGGACTCAGGGCTCCTTGGCCAAGGTCTGCTGGGGGCGAGAGAGCCTCTGCCCTTAGCGGAGCCAGCCCCAAGTCCCCTGTCACTCACAAGCAGTGCAAGCGGGGGCAGGGGGCAGGGATCTCTCAGCTGGGAAGCTGAGAGCAGCCGGATCCGGATCCTACTCGCATGCAAGCAATAGTGGGCTTGGAGCTCTCTCAGTTGGGGAGGGGGAGCACTTTAACGGAGCCCCCATCCTGCCGCTGGCTTCTGCGAGCTGGTATCGGTTCAGGGGCTCCATAAAACTACAGTGGTACCTCGGGTTAAGTACTTAATTCGTTCCGGAGGTCTGTTCTTAACCTGAAACTGTTCTTAACCTGAAGCACCACTTTAGCTAATGGGGCCTCCTGCTGCCACTGCGCCGCCGGAGCACGATTTCTGTTCTTATCCTGAAGCAAAGTTCTTAACCTGAAGCACTATTTCTGGGTTAGCGGAGTCTGTAATCTGAAGCGTATGTAACCTGAAGCGTATGTAACCCGAGGTACCACTGTACTTGGCTGAGGCAAGGGCAGCAGCGTGCTCCTCAGCCCAAGCAGTTTAAAGAAGTGAAGGAAGGAAAAGGCCGATTCATCTTGATTCTCCCTCTGCCAGGGCAGAGTGCGATGGTGGTTTCAACAGTGGTATATCACTGGTGAAACCGCCGCTACTTGAGTCCCTTTGCATTCAGCTCTCAGCTAGTTTGTTTCTCCCTCAGCACACTGGGCACTGGAGGCAGAGAGACTCAAGAGTGGTGATGGTTTCACCAGCGATATACCACTGAGTGAAGCTGTCATTGCGGTCTGCCCCCACATACTAGTCCAGTATCAGTATATCCTGTATCAATATATCCTGTGATCAATATATCGCTCAGGCCTAGCATATACTTATTTTGAAACCCGTGTTTTATTCCCTTCCTTGGTTAAATTGTGATGTGTGAAGGGAACTCTTAAGATGTATGCTATTGTATCAGTTGGTGTTTTGCAACTACATTGGTTTGCTTATATGGCCCTAAGCCTGGGACCATTTTCTCTGTTAGCCAATGAAAAGGTATTGTTCTGGCAACTGTAGGTGACTGGGGTAGAGTTGGGCACTTCACATAAGAGGGTTCTTCAACTATTACAGTATAGCCTGCTGCCTCAGGTAAAGAGAACCTGTCTGTCCACCTTAATAAAGCAGTGTTTCTCCTTGAAATTGCACCATCGATTTAGCTTATTATATTGGCTGCATAATGCTCTCCAAGGAACTTTGAATATTTTTGTAAGTCTGCTGCTTTCCCATTTGCCAATTTACTAAATATGTTCCCATCAGCAATTCTTTCTGCCTTTCTTACAATTTCATTATCAGCCTACAACAGTTAGGGTAATGCACTTCATTCTTCCATTTCTGCAATGTCAGTTGGGTCGCAGCCCACATGCTTTGGAAAGTTTTAACATAAAAGTGTTTATAAGGCATTCAAAAATTCTAGTTAACTCCCATCCTGCTGTCCTTTAATATGCTTGTGAAACATGTTAGTGTAATGTTCTGGAGAGCATGATTATTTGCCAAGGCTGCTCAACATGCTTTGTAATTCTGCATTTGGCATCTCAACCAGAGCCTTCAACATTGATAATCATCTCTTTAGTTCGAATCTTTTAAACTGATATAGGAGTCATATACTTCCTGTCCTTGCTTTTGGGGCATGTGCTGCAGGTGTTTGCCAGTCTGGGATTATTATTTTTGCCTACCTGTATTTATGCTTGGCAATACCTTGAAGATAACTGGGTATCAGAACTGAGAATAGGGAAAGGCAATTGTGCATATCTCGTTTTCTAAACCATTTTTATCTTCTGTTTGATAGTGGTCTGTGGTGTGTCACAGCTAGGCATATTACTGACAATTCCACATGGTGGGATGAGCACCTTTCAAAAGAGAATTTCGAGTTCCTTAAGAAGTATACAGCGGAAGAATTCAAAGCTCAAACAGCCAGTAAACTCTGTCCACTAAAAGATGAACCCTGGCCTTTGCATCCATGGGAGCCAGGTTTGTATATGACAGGTTAGGAAGCAAAAGCAAACCTGTGTCCAGTACTTGAGCCTGTATTTGTATTCCTTAAAACACAAATGCTTTTAAAATCAGTGAGCTGGATTCTAGTCCATTAAGGAAGCAGCACATGTAGGACCTAAGAGTTATTTTCCCTTGCACCCAGCGCATGTGTGTAAACATTCAGCATGCCAGGCCATTATGAGAATTGGGAAGTTCCTATCAATTATTATTATTATTAGGCAGCCCTGTATCAGGAAGTTTTTAATGTTTTACTATGTTTTTATATGTGCTGTAAGCCACTCACAGTGGCCGGGGAAACCCAACCAGATGGGCGGGGTATAAATAGTAAAATTATTATTATTATTATTATTCCAGCTAGTCTTTTCTTTTTTCATTCCCCCACCCCCAAGGACCACATGTTCCAAATCTGTAGTCCCTGACTAAATGAATCTATACTGGCTGGGAATATGGAATACATGCACAATCCTTTTGTTCCCTAATGTGGTGCCTATGTAAATACCTGCATGTGCATAACACAGGGGAAAGGGCTCTGTCATGCCACAAAGGGATCCCTCTGTACTCGGGTATTGGGTCTCCAGTGTATTTGATTGAACCCTTTGTTTTTCAGGTGTTGTCCACACTTAGTTTCCCAGAACTTTTTCTTCATGGACAGCTCCCTGCCCTGCCACTTCCAGTCCATCCCATCTGCCTTCTGGGCAGAATGCCAGGTTCTAAGAATGATGGCGCAGCCACTGCTCTTGCGCTTTGCGGCTGATGCTCCCATCATTTTTCACAGGCATGCCATGAATCACCTGAATGAAGCTTGTAGACCACTGGTGGTCTGTGGACCGCAATTAGGAAACACTCACAAAAGGTCATTTAATATTAAGTTGCAACCAAAGTCCCTTTCATTCACTCGGCTTCGGTACTAATCTGCCAAAAATACATAGCCTGTATGCAAAAATAAATATTTGTTTGCTTTTTACTCCTATGATGGGCCCCTCTTATGAGTAAAAAGCAGGCTAGTACTAGTAAGCAAATGGGGGGGGGGGGGTGATCCCAGCTAGAAGCTTCTTCCTTTGCAGTCAATATGGAAGCAGAGTGCTCTGTCCCTCTTTCACCAGCCAATACACACATTTGAGGAAATTCCATGTGCTCACCTGTATGGAGCACCTGGCTGCCATTGGCTAAATAGTTAAAGGGACTGCTTTCACTTTTAAACACAGGTTCTAAAAGAGTTGGACTTATTGCAGTAAAGTTGGGGATGATGCCATTGTGGACCAAGAAAGGTGAAAGAGTGCCTGTCACATTACTTCAGGTAAGGCAAATATTAGTCTTTAAAAACCATGATAGGTTCTTCTAGATTGCATATTTAGGATCTGGGCACTATCCTAACTAAACAGCTCCATTAGTTGTAGCAGCACAATGGAACTTCCTTGCCCTCCCCCCCTGTGCCCCTTGCAGGCTTGTGAAATCTGTTTTGGCTCTTGTTTGGTTTTGCTAGAACCCTGAAGTCCAATAATCAGAGCTGGATGCAAAATAAGTATTGAGGTGGAGCCAGACACAAAATATGGCTTAATAAACAAGACCTGGTTGCCTCCTTTCCCTCTTACCCCATGAACAATAACCTGAGATTACCTGCAGATACAAGTGCACATCTACAGTCAATGCAGTTCTCTGGAACTGGGCATTATAGAAAGGTGTCCTTATTCATGTTTATTCCTCTAAACTGTTGGCTGTGCTATATCTTTATCTTGTTGTTGGTTTTAAAATTATAGTTTACTGTGTTGCTAGCTACCTTGAGGCCATTCACGGCGAAAGGTTGGGTATAAATTATAAAAATAAACGCTGACTTTCAGTTCCCCTTTATAAAGGTTAAAGGTTGCAGTACTGCACTGTGTACAGCATCTGACTACTGATTCATTGTTGTTTGTATAAGAAGGAAATTAAGCACTTGAAGCTGGAAGGGTTATTTCCAAGGGCTTACCTGAGATTGAATTAGCAAATCCCTATTAGATGATTTATATAACGATGTTACACTTCAAGTGTTTAATTTCCTTCTTATTTGTCCTGTATTTAAGATTTTGGTGTAGTTTGGATGCATTCCTGGTCTGTTGACTCTAATAAACAAATGGTGATGAGGACATTATTATTCAACAAAATATGTATATGGGTTTTGAGATTACTTTTACCATTCTGTGTTGGCTCTTTTTCCTTGAAGGTTAGAGACTGCCATGTATTAAAGCATATACCGAAGGAAGAAATGGGTGGAAAAGATCCCTTTCTGCTTGTTGGAGGAAGAAATGTTTCACAGTTTTATGTAAGTCTACTGTGTTGCTTTTTGTGATAGAGTTATCAGTTTTCATCAACTTCTTCTATAGAGTGCATTTTGGTATGTGGTGTGCCTCTATATTTAAAAGTCTGCCTTTTTTATTTTTTAAAAAAATGCTCGCATGCATCACTGTTTGCTGTCATTTCTTGAAAATGTGATTTATCCCTACTCTTTACCATTCTCTGAAGGCAGAGGATTTTTGCATGGGGGACATGGGGAGGAGGATTCCCTGGTCCCGAATGGGGTAACTGTGCCCCTAAAGGACCAAGTGTGCAGCCTGGGAGTCATTATGGACTCTCAGCTGTCCATGGAGGCACAGGTCAATTCTGTGTCAAGGTTGTCTACCAGCTCCATCTGCTATACCAGCTGAGACCCTCCCAGCCTGTGCCTTGTCTCGCCAGAGTGGTACATGCTCTGGTTATCTCCCGCTTGGACTACTGCAAGGTGCTTAATGTGGGACTGCCTTTGAAGGAATCTACAACTAATCCAGAATGCGGCTGCCAGACTGATGGCACCATATAACACTGTTCCTAAAAGATTTCAATTTCCGGGCACAATTAAAAGTGTTGGTGCTGACCAGTAAATCCCTTAATGTCTTCAGGCCTGAATACCTAAAGGAATACCCACATTGTTGAGGCGAGTGGAGGATTCAGTCCTGCTGGGTGCTGCTTAAAGAGGAGGCACAGCATGTCCTTCTTCTGGCCTCTCCCCTCCTGATTGCAACATTTCCCCCCTTCATTTAGGTGTACTATGTATTCTCCAATTCTCTGCTTCCTTTTCTTCCCACATGCGTGTGCATGTGCTACGCAGCTTCTTTCCCATTTATCCTTGGACAGAAACACAGGGCTAATTGAGACAGAAGGCTTTGGTTTCTAGGGAGGCATCATCATCATCATTATTATTAGCTTGAGAGGAGGGGGGGACTGCCAAAGGTGGAGGGGGAAGAATTTTTCCCCACCCTGTTCAGCCTCCTTTTAATAATTTTTCTTTCCTGTTTAAGAAAGCAAGCATGCTACCTTCCTGTGGGGAAAAAAAATCCAAGTCACCCTTTATACCAAAACATACACGATGGACGTAAATAACTATTCCAGCAGATATGTGCCAGTCTAGAGCATCTGTAGTGAGACACAGACCATGCATGGAACCATTCATTGTTTCCACTGTTTTTAATTTGTGTGGGGTTTTAGTTGTTGTTTGTTTTTATTGAGGGAGGGGAGATGTGTCTGGGAGGGGAGGAGCTGGAAGAGCAAGGAGGCTCCCAATCACTGTGGTTCAGGGTAGGAGGATGTGGTTTGGCAGGTGGAACAGGCCAGGTAAGGGGCACACGGCACAGGCAGTACCTAGTAACAGTGAAGGCAGCAAAGAAGGCATACTTTTCTTCCCCCGTTGTGTCTTCTTGGTGGCCTCCGGCAAAGCTTTTCCAGGTAGTGTGGGGTCTTTTACACTCCGACTGAACCAGCGGTAGCTTGCTATGACTTGTTTGCAAAGCATTTTAAGGATCACATCACTTGCATCCACTGGGATGATGATGATGATGATTACTATTATTATTATTTAGTTCGCTGTTATAGCAGATGGATCTCATGGGATGTCCAGAGAAAATGTGTGGGATATAAGAAAGTTAATTGTTATTAAGCTTCCCCCCCCTCATTTTTAGCAACTGTTCTCATTTACAAATTTGAATCTCTAGTTAAATCAATATCTAGGTTTTATAGATCTCTTTAGTTTCCATTGATTCTTTTGAAAATGGGCATATGTGGAAATAAACCTTCAGCTCTTCAGGTGTAAACTTGCTTCAGTTTGGAAACAGAACTAAATGCCTTTGTTTTATAGAAAGTTAATTTCCATCTTATTATTGATGTAAAAAGTTTCAACAACAATGGGTGTGTGTGTGTGTGTGTGTGATTATGAGATGGGTTAAAGCCTCACAAGGAACTGAGTTATTAATTTTCAAATAATATGTGTGGAATCATAGAGTATGTGTATACTGTAGTATATTTGATTAATCGGTACTCAGAGGAAACAGCAACAGCCAGCCATACCCAGTCTCACAATGTATAATTTGTGATCTATCATCCCCATTCAGCATGCTCTACAATGCAGAATCAAAACTTTGCCTCTTGCAGATATTGGCATTTCACTGTATCTACCCTGAAAGATCAATAATTTCTTGCAGGCATAAGATTCTAAACTGCTGTCCTGTAACAGCTTCTGGAAATGCCTGAATGTGCAGGAGATATATTCCTGCAAGTAGATGCCTTTGATGCCTAGAGCATCCAGCTGTTTGTTGCAAGAGCTAGAGATAAACTGTGCCTTTAAATTTACAAAAGCTACGTGCATCTAAGTTTATAGTATAACTGGGACATAGATGTTTCATGCCCCAGCTCATTGGGTAAATGTTATGTTTGTGAACTGCACACATAAGTTAAAGCATCCTGTCATTTTTAAGTACACTTAATGTAGTCAATAAAATAGTTCCAGAAATTGAAAGGATTACCTGAGCCTGTCAAATGTCTTGATGAAATGTTCTTTCTTGTGTTAGATGTTGTAGAAAGCTGGAATCAGATACGTGGAGACAACCTAAAAAGCTTTTGCATCTAGTGGCTATCTTTTCATTTCTTTAATTATTATTACAGTGGACCTTCGGGTAACATAATCCTCAGGTTGCTAATGCAGCAACCCCAGAAGTGTATACTTCTGGGTTTCGCCATGCGCGCATGCGCAGAAGCGCTCAATTGTGCCGAGCGCATGCACAGAAGGGCACCTCTGGTTATGAAGTTTTCGGGATGTGGCCGGGCCTCCGGAACGGATCCCATTCGTAACCGGAGGTACCACTGTATTTATTTTAATTCTACTAAGAGTTTATTATATCTTCATTCAGACCTTTCCCCTTATTTTTACTTGCTGCTCTAAAAGAGCATCCATAGATACTGGTTATAAATTCTTTTAATGTATATATGTGTCGTAGGATAATTTTTTACATGTTTTAAAGTTGTTGCACCAAGGACAAATACATTTGTTACCTAAATATAACAGTTTTCAAAGGATTGTCTAAGAAATTAGCTATGTTTTATTGTAGAAACTCAACACTCCTATCCTAAATGCATTCTTTGAAAATAAGTTCCAGGGACCATCGTGGAGCTTACTGTAATGACGTGTTCTTAGGACTGGATTTTAATTATTTTTATAGTAGTCATTTGTGTGTGAGAGAGAGAATCTCAGGAAGGTGACACTAAGAAGTATTTTAACCTTCGTCTATAAAACAGTATTATAAAGGTTTATCAATTTTATGCAGTTTGCACACAAAATGATAAGCAGGGGGCGTTTTCAGGTGGGGCACATTTTTGCTGCTGTATAACCTTAAAATTGTCCTTTGAACTCCTCTGAAAGTTCAGGAAGGCACTTTCATTGGGGAAAAGGAAAACTGCAGATAACTTCTACAACACTGACCACCTGACAGATGGTGATTATCCAAGTGTGTCGCTCCTGTCAGTCATGTAAATTGCTTTCTAGGGGAATCCATTTAAAGCACAAAACTCTGCAATACGGCTTCTTGCATTTTCAGTTTTCATTCATTTTACTTCTGTTTAGTTGATAGGTTGAGAGAGAGAGAGACTCAAGGGCAATTTCAGAATTAATCCACTATAAACCACTTATAAACTATGCTTCCTATGTGTTTGGTTAATAATGAAGTATCCTTGTGCTAAAGATTATAGACTCTAGTATGGTGAATTAAAATTAAAAACTTGCAAGACTTCGTTCTTTCACCATTTTCATTCTGGCTCTGCGGTTGTCCATGCTTTATTGAACCTTTACGCTTCGGCAAATTTTTAAATATTATTCTTCATGTAAAACTTTGTGGTATTAGCTTATTATTTTAAAAGTCTCCATATTATAATCACACACTTTTCAAAATTTGGTTTCTAGCCACGGTTTTAATGCCCTAAATTATCGTTAATCTCAACTATAGCTACCTTCATAAACTAGGCTTTGGAGTTGCTGTGTTTTACTAGGGCATAGTTTAGAATAAGCATAGCCTGTCTGGGATCAGACAGAATACTAAGTTGTGTTTAGTTGAAAAAGGAAGCAAAAGCTTTCCAAACTCCTTGTGGCTGCGCTGGGGGGTAGTGGGTAGCCCACAAGCCTAAGGCTTTCACAGAGGCATTCCTGTATCACAAAACAAGGCCACATTTTGTCTTGTGTAGTTAATAAAAGGTGGATTTAGACAAGGGAAACCTGGTTTGAAATCCCCACAGCCTTAAAGCTCATTGGCTGACCTTGGGCCAACCAGTGTGTCTCCTCCTAACCTAATTCACAGTTTTTGTGAGGATAAAATGGGGCAGAAAGCTGGAGACCATATCTGCCATTCTGAGCTCCAGTTTCTTTCTATGATTTTTTTACCTATGCTTGATTATGCATTGTAATAAAATAAAAAAATTTTTAATAATAAATGATAACAACAACCACTTCTTTAAAACTAAAGATTTTGAACAGATGTGTCTAGGATCACACACTGTGATACAATTATGAGACAGAGACTCTCTGAATTTTATCAAGAAGCAAGTCCTTAAAACCACACAATTGGCATATATTTTAAATTGTTTGAAGCGTTTGAGGATTTTCAATGTAAAGAATCTAATTTCTTAATATTTCTCTCGTTGCTCTGGGTTGCATTTCTTACAGAAAGGGACGGCTATGATGGAGTTGTGCAGAACCGTTGGGATCCCGCCAAAGGAGAAGATTTCAACGTTTAGAGTGTCTGAAAATGCCCTCATTAAGCCAGGTAATCTATGCAGAATGAAGAACCGCGGAATATAATTTTGCACAATATTTTCTCTTGGTAGATCAGAGCCATAGTGCAGATCTGACAAGGTTTTGAAGTCCCAGGGTAAAATGGAGCAAATCCTATGTATATAAAAAGTCGAATATTATAACCATACATTTCCCGCAGAGAAAGTCATGTGATCCGAAATGGCTGCTACCTTTTTTAAAAGCTTTCTTAGAGATAAAGATATTTTTGTTTTGTTTTGTGGAGGGTGTTCCAATCAGGGGAACAGGGAGGGAGGCCATTTTGGATGCCTCCCCCTGCAGGAACAAAGGGAATTGCTAAAAATTGCATCCTTCACCATGGCATGACATGAATCACCCTGGGCCCATTGCAGCACTCAAAAAATGCCTGATTATTATTATTAAGACATTATTAAGACATCTGAAGGCAGCCCTGTTTAGGGAAGTTTTTAATATTTAATGCTGTATTGTTTTTAACACTCGATTGGGAGCCGCCCAGAGTGGCTGGGGAAACTCAGCCTGATGGGCGGGGTATAAATAATAAATTGTTGTTGTTGTTGTTGTTGTTGTTAAGACTTTGTCCAAACAAATAATGATAATAGGCTTAACTTGATTACCTTCCTTCCCCACCAGGTACTCCCCTGTATGCTGCTCACTTCCGTCCTGGACAATATGTGGATGTCACTGCAAAAACGTAAGTTTCCCCCTGTAGCTATTTATGCGCTAGGATGTTTTTAACCACTTTATTTTAGATAGTTATTAGACTTTGAAGGCGAACGCACAAAGCGATTTACAAGAAAATATTAAAACAAAAAGTATTAATAAGCCAGAGAAATAAAATAAAATGAGGGAAATGTTTTCCAAAGCCGCTGGAATTTTTCTTTTGTGGTATACTTGGAGCTTGTGCCTGAATCAGGCAGAAAAAGAAAAACTGCTCCCTGAGTGTGACCGCGCGCGCACACACACACACACACACGGTTGTGATGAAATTGCTTTTCGATTTTTATCCCTTGAAAAGGACTATTTTTGGCTGTGAAGATAATTCATGGTATTTCTTTTAAAAGCAAGAATGAAATAAAAACAGACCATCCAGATGAAATGTTTAAGTAGACACTTGGTCTTGTGACACCAGGGATTACGCCGGTTGATTAAAGTTGACAGAGCTGTCTTCTTTGAAGTTTGCTTCCTTCAGTTCGTGAATCTCTTTAAAAAATAATAATTTTATTTATTATTTTCATTTATATACATTTCAGTAGTAGTTTAACAGTAAATCAAACATTTCAAAACTCGACTACCTTATTCCTCTGGCAATTTCATTATAGTTTTTGTTGAATGCTGAGGTGTCTATTTTCAGGACTCTCAATAATTTTTATAATTGTATTTTTTAAAACAACAGCAACAACAACAAACTATTTTAATGTTATATGTTAAATTGTTATTACGCTCCCTAGGACCTTAGGCTGAGTAAGTAATAAATTAAATTAAGAACAAGAACTGGAATTTACTTCTGAATAAACCTGCATATGATTGTGTTGAAAGTCCTTAACGTTTTCCATACAAGAAGCTCTTGAAAGACAATGCCTTATATGGTGATCATTTTTTAATTCTAAAGTCTAAATGCAGCTGCATACTTTCTGTCTTAATAGACCATTGAGTAGCAGTCTGAAAATTACAGGTTAAATAAACATGTTTGTGCTGTTCTACTTTGCTTAAAACAAATGCTGTTGAAATATGTACATAAGATATTTCTGTAATGATAGGTAATTATGCTGACAACTAAAGAAATTATCATGTTTTATAGGCAACTTTGCCTTTTTTCTGTATTTGAGTATTTCCTATACCTCTAAAGCAAATTGATTTATGCTTAATTTATACTCAAGAAAATGTCGTTTTGGCAACATAATTTTATTAATTGCACCCATCTTGGGAGAAAGGAGTACATACTCTAAGCAATGGGTTGTTTTAGATTAAATCAATTGAGCTTGTTTGTTACACTTTACTACCACTAAAACAGTTGAATTTAAGTTATTTATTTCTAACCTGCCCCATTGAGACCTGTGGGACTAGAATCTAACTTAGTCTGCATCCAACCTAGTGTATTGCTTAGTCTGGGTAGTTAAAGAGCTTTTCATTTGGAAGGTTTAGAATCCTCAATGGCCCACTATGACATTTTTCTTTTGCAAAATACTCCTTTCCAAAACCATCCTGCATCTGTTCTGATCTTAACTCCATTGTAGAAAATTCAAGTGTCCAGGCCAGGGTAGTCTACGTGGTGCCTTCAACTCCTTATCATTGGTCATGCTAGCAAAGGCTTGATCTAGGCCTGCCTTAGATTTTGGAAAGATGAGCTTCATTTGTTGATCATTAGTTGACATCTGCTGCATGATAGCATTAAGTGTGAACCCATTGATTCTCCTGAGACCCTTCAGTGGCTTTCATTATCATCCACTAAGATACCCTTTCAAGCTGATTTATAGGACCGTGGACGCTGTTCTATGGTGGTTCTGCTTCTACTTCACTGGGAGGCTTCCAAAGGTGATCTGGTCTACTGGGACTTGCATGCGGGATCCTCCTGAAGTAGATTCCATGCTTTAACATTGCAAGCAAGTCTTGTTTTATGTGGCTTACATCAACTTTGTATTTATGCACTAGTCTGGTTGTCATAGGTGGCCAGGGCTTAAATGCAGGTGGGAGAGTGAGCTGGCTGAGGAGAGAGGAAAAGCTCTGTTCTTTCTCTGCATGAAGCATTGAAACCAAGTGGACTGAAGGAGAAAGAAGTTCCCTCCTCCACACGCAGCATAGAATTGCAGCTTCCGATCCTTCCTCTGCCAGCTGCCTGCAATCTTGGATCTTTTGGGGGGGGGCTTCTTTGCAAGGGTGACTTACTCCCAGGGAAGTCTGCAAAGGACGCATGCGCCTTTCTATCTGCCATACAGAGGCATTTTTGAACAGCATTCTGTAAGTGCCTTGTACTGAAACTGCAATCCATGTATTGGGGAAATTACCTTTTTCAAGTGGGTTATTTCAAAACTGGCCTTATCTGCTTTAGACTTGGCAAAGGCTTCCAAGGAGTCATGAGAAGATGGGGTTTTAAAGGTCAGCCTGCTTCCCATGGCCAGACTAAAACACACAGGAGACCTGGAGCCATTTCCAATAGCGTAAGTATTCTTAATAATAATAATAATAATATAATTTATTATTTGTACCCCGCCCATCTCGCTGGGTTTCCCCAGCCACTCTGGGTGGCTTCCAACAAAGATTAAAAATACATCAAAATGTCACACATTAAGAACTTTCCTGAACTGAGTTACTATGACTTTGTCATTACAAAAAGACAAGTGTTTAGAAAAAAGTTTCTTCCAGTGAATGTAAACATTTCATTACACAATGAGCTCTCTCCACTGAACAGTTTATTGGGATCCTACATAGTGAGCATGAACCAAATCAATAAAACTTTGAAGTAAATGTGCATAGGTGTCAAGATGCTTTTTTTAAGTAGTACTTATGGCATGTTGTTAACACAATACCTGCTTTGGTTTTGATGCTGAATCTTACTTTATCTTATTTTACTCTTGTTCACATGCCATAGAAGAGCATTTCCATGGTCGATGCCTAACTTGTATTTCGTATTTTTGAGACAGAAGGTTGCAAGAGTTTTCAAGGGAAAGAAAATGCCAGGGCGGATGGGAAACGTCTTCAGAACAACGGTGGGACTAAAGGTGAGGCTTATGAATGTGCAATAAAGATGAGGTGCATGTCCTTTATTTGCCCCTTTGATAAAGTAGCTTCCTAGTGCATAATCACCCTCACGTAATAGCGAACATCATGTTTTCTTCTTAAGTATCAAAGAGAGACGGCCACTGCTGTTAACATGGAGGTGGAATAAGGGCCTTTCCCTCCCTCTCTGCCTCTTCCTTGCCTGCTGACAGCAGCATTGCTTCAGGGCAGGGGGAGAAAGAGGACTTCCCTGACCTGCACTGGCCACTGATGGAGCTGGGGAAAGGGGACTTGAAATCGCCGGAGGTGGTGACCCTGCCACTGTCGATGCACAAGTCAAAGTACCAAAGTGCCTCCTCAGTACTCAGTGCAGCCCGGCTTGCTTGACAAGTGAGGCACAGTTTGTCTGGGAATGCTGATGGTGCTGTTCTGTTGCTATGTAAAGAGGAGCCGTATTTTCTTTTCCCCACAACATATGAAAGTCTGCAGAAAGACGCTGCAGTTAGCACAGCAAGTAATTTTTAAAACCACCACAGAATGTTTTGGTTTCAATTTGGTCGTTTTAATCTTTCAGGTGTGGCGGATCAGTGTGAAGCACAATATCATTTATGTACACGGTTGTGTTCCAGGTCATAAAAACTGTTTAGTAAAGGTAAGTTTGGCTTTGAACTGTTGGATAATGTGGCAACACAGTGCATTCAATGACTGTTTTGGTCAGCCTTGATTTTATTGTTTCTTCCACCTTGTGCCATGTGCATCAATGTGTTGTGCTTTGTTTCCCAAGCTGGTGCCTTCCAGATGTTTTGGACTTCCGTTCCCATCATTCCCAACAAGTGGCCATACTGGCTAGAGGTGATGGATGTTGTAGTCCAGAACATCTGGAAGGTGTCAGGTTAGGCAAAGAACTCTTTTTAAATTGCAAAAAAAGCTCCTTACATTGTGAATGGATACTGGCAAGCATTGAAAGCTGTCACAGAAGAATACAAAGTGATGTTTCATTGGTTGGCCAGGTAAGACCTTTGCAAAGGAGCCTGTTAACAAGCAGGATCTCTCTCTCTCTCTCTCTCTCTCTCTCTCGCTCTCTCTCTCTTTTACATTATCATTTTTAATTTGGTACTGTGGCACGAGCTAGGGGAAAAAATGGCGATTGCCAGATTAAGCAGAATAAAAATATTAAAAGTAATAGTGTGCCATTTTGCTCCTGCCCTACAGTTTGTTATGTTCAATTTTCATCATGATCCCTCATGCCAAAGGCTGTGATTTTTCATCTATCTTCACTTGAGCTCATCATGTAGGATATATATGCTATGGAAATGCTGGACTTCATTGCAGACTGTGCTGCCTCTGGCTGTTGTAACCTAATTTGATGGGAAATTGTGGTGCATTTAATTTTGACTATGCTCAGAATGTAATTGGGGCATATCTCCCCCCCCCCCCCAAAAAAAAATCTAAAGCACGTTTTGTAATTAAAACAAGGAAACATAGGATTGGGAAATGGTGGACACACAAACTCACAAGGGACAGTTTCTTCACTCTTGCAGGGTGCTTTTTCCTCCATGACCCTTAGCCTAGGAGCAGTTGAGAGCAAAGAAGTCTTGCAGCATTCAGTGTCCCTAGCCCTTTGATATCTAACATTTTTACTGAGGCAAAAAGATTCCAGTCTTGCTCACTTTGGGAAAAGGTACTTTTTTTGCTATGTAAGTGTCTTGCATCTTGTTACTGTTCGTGCAAAGTACTGATTCAGCCTGGAGCTCTGCTAAACTGCAAAGTGGTCTGTGACTTCACCCTACTTCTAAGCATTAAGCTTGCTACATGCTCAAGCAATTTTTGCGGATTATGTTCTGCTGAGCTGTACCTGTAGCTGTTCAAACTTGAGACCTCTGCTATCAGTAGCACAGCGTCTTGTATGTACGTTTCCCAAGGCATTAATTTACTGTTTTGCAAAACCATGACCCAAAACCCATTTTAAACAGTTGAATACCTATGCCCCATTTCTAAACACATACCTGCTGTGTGATCTTTTTTAGTTTGTTGTTTTATTTTTATTTTTTTTAAAGAAAAAGCTGTAATTTAGAAAGAACAAGGAGCATGGCAAAACAAGTCTCTTTGTGCGTGTCTACCTGGAAACACTGATGGTGTTGGCACACACACACACACACACACACACACACATTTTGTCAATACTTCATTATCTATTTTGGTTGGTTGACATTAATGCAGATATTAAATCAAAGGAATTGGTAACATTTGTGCTTGTAGCCAGGCTGACCATTTCACGATTAAACACATTGTGGGAAAGCTGAGCCCCTCCCCAAATTCATTTATCTAAAGGATAACCAGGCTCATTCCCCCCCCCATGACATGCAACAAATAAAAGACCCTACAAGGCACCCACTCATCAGTGTTCCCCCCAGTTGTCTCTTAAAGGACAGCAAGAGAGAGACTCTGTTGTATGTGCTCATTCCTCTGGAGCACATTAATTTAATAACCATGAGATGAGCTCGTCTTATGGGTTGATATCTAGTTATAGAACAGGAAGCAGAGTATAGTAATAGATGGACACTTCTCACAGTGGGGGAAACTGAGAAGTGGGAGTCCTCTGGTCATCCGTATAAGGATCAATGTTCTTTAACCTGCTCATGAATCATCCGTGAAGAGCAGTGAAGTGGCCACATTTGCAGATGACCGCAGATCATTTGAGTGTCATTCTTTAATGCTTTAAGGTTGTCTTAAAACAATCTAAATAATTAGCTCTGTATATAAAAGATGAAATGTTTCATAGGAGGCTTTTTTTCTTCTGCGCTCTCAAAAAAAATTTTTTTTCTATTAGGAGGAAAAATGATAAAAAAATGGTTTTGCCCCCACTCCAAGGTTTTCCCCCCAGGCTTTCACATCTCTACAACTACCTCTCTGATCTTTCTTTTCTTGTCCTCTCTGTCACATTATGTCTAATGACAAACTTCTTTCCTCCCAAGTTCTCATCTCACATTACACTTTCCTTATCTAGTTAGTCCAACTGGTGCTCTGAGCAATAGCTTTGTGTTTTGAATCCTAAGTGAATTTTTGCCCACTTTTCATTATCAACCCCTCTTGCGCTTGTTGTGTTTTAGGTCAAGGATTCGGCTCTACCAGCTTACAAAGATGACAGCAAGAATTTACCATTCCCAACTTATTTCGCTGATGGCGAAGAGCAGCTGTCTGATGAGTTGTTTGATGAGGACATTTTTCAGTTCACTGAGCCCTCCATAACATTCACTTAACTATTGACATCCTGAGGTGCAGGCAGGCTTCCCATCAAAAATATTGGTCCGAAGACGCAAAGCAGGAAAATCTCCCCCCGAAAAAGTATCATCTGGCACCAACCTGCCCACATGACTCTGGACAACAATTTTTGTTAAGAGTTTTCTTCATCGCAACAGACGTCAAAGGATGATAAGCAAAGAAACAGTGACACAGCTGATTGACACTTTCAAAAAATAATTCAAAACCTTCCAAACTGATAATACATGTGTGTGTTTATATTTAGTGTAATATTTACCTCTATCGTGTTATGAAACAGATACATGTGTCTGGTTTTTTCCTTTCCTCAGCAGAAAATTGGCTGTTGTTAATTACTTAATATAAAAAATATCACTTTTTAAGTTCATTCTGCCCTGTGCGTGAGCAGTTTGGAGACACACAGGCTATGCGTGGTTCAAGAGACCTTGTCACCTACATCGTAGGAAGCCCCACACTCCCAGTGGTGGCTTCCTTGGCTGTCCCTACTACAGCAGATCTGACAGCCAGCAAGACGAGTCTCTTTTTTTAATGGCGCATCTGTATTGGCATCGGCTGTCGAGAGTTGCTGAAGGGAAACCCACAGAGAAGGTAGATCCAGTGTGTGCTGTTCACATATATCTACATAAACAAAGCCAGGGATCTTTGCATATTCAACAACAAGGGTGCAATGAATAAGAGTGGTAGAGAATTTCTTTGCAATTTCTCCCAGTTCAGACTGAAGTATATATGGTGCTCTGTGTTTTCAGGAACTTAACACAATCTTGTGAGCAGTTCCCCTCTTCTGATGTCCCCTAGCAACAAGAGCAGGGAAAGAGTTTAAAAAAACAACAGTTGTCAAGTTTGCCTGTTTGCAGTTCACTCTTAAGTGCTTCAGATGGCAATCCTGGCTACCCTCAATTACCTGAAGATTGCACTCATACGAGAGAAAGCAATTGTTCTCCATCAGTGCTCATCTCTAACTCCCAAATCTGTCACATTAATAAATGTCCAAGCTGTCTACTTTGATTTGGAGTTGTGTTGTGCCTTTTCACTGAGATGCAATACCATATCAACCACCGTTATCCTTTCCTATCAAAGTGCACGTTTTTAATGCAAGTTAGTAACTAATTATTTCACATGAGGTCCTCTATCTTATTAAAAATAATAATTGCTTGTTTATAAGCATGATGAGATTTTAATTTAAAAAAAAAACATTTTAAATCCCACATATTAAATACAAATTATGTTTTGAAAGTATATTCCTAATCTATTAATCTAAAATGAAGACCCCCCCCCATATCGTTTGATGCCATTGTTATTTTGGAATATTAGTGTTAATTAATGAGATTTCGCAGCCATGTCCCATAACAGCAAGCCGCCTGCCCCCCAATTAACTCTGAATATGTTGACTTCCAAATCTTTCTTATTAGCAGATACAACATATATAGTCATAAGGGTGATAATTGTTTAAAAGCATTATCTGCTGGCCTGCAATGATGTAAGGCAGAATAGGATGATGACTTGAAAAAGTAGAACTGATATAACCGAGTTGCATCCCAGCAAGGATTGAACTAGAACTCCCATCAACTCCTGCAAGCATGACCAATGGTTCAGGATGATGGGAGTTGTAGACTGGAGGGCACCATGTTGACTACCTGCATAGTATATCCTTGCTCAATGCTAAGAGGTTTGCTTTCTTGTTTTCTGGCAGCTCCATGTAATCTCCCTGTAATTTACTATATTTTGTCTGCTGTACTATGTTTTGCCTCTCTGCTGTTTCCATTCCTTGGTTTCGGCAAGTATAAAAATGTCATTGGAGTTGCTTCTGCAATGTATAAAAGTGATAAACGTTGAGCAAGATGGAGATCTGGTGTGCCAAAAGCTTTGATCAAGCAAGCAATATTCTGTACTGGATCACATGTTGCCATACAGAAGTCAAGAGCAGCAGAAAAGTTAAGTCAATACTGGGGCTTACACTGAGATTTTCACTGCCACCAACTGCTGTAATTCATTCCCAACTACACTCAGTCATCTTTGAGCCTGGCCTGGTTCACGTGGCACACTGAACCATAGGTTTAAAACAAACTATGGCTTAATGCGAATGAGCATCAGGGTAGTACCCCTCATCTGCCACACTGCAGAGGAAACAAGTCAGAGTCTCATGTGGCCCAAACTTAGGCACATAGTTCATTCCCCCCCCACCCAAACAAATGGCAAGTGCTAGTGATTGGTTGGTATTTGCTTCCTACAAAAAAAGAAACTGGTTCAGACAACAGGACAATCTGAATTCTGGCTTGTTTGTGGCACGGCAACAGAAAAAAATGGAGGTGTACCATGGAAAACTTAGTGCTGGTGCATATTAAACTAGAGCTTAATTTATACCGTGGTGTAACAAGATGTGGCAAACTGGACCAATATTAGGAACATGAGACGAGCCTACTGGATCAGGCCAATGTCCTCTCTATACTCTGTCCTCACAGTGGCCGACAAGATGCTGTGGGAAGCCTGCAAGTTGGATGTGAGGGTAACAGCATTTCTAGCAACTGGTATTCAAAGGCATAAACGTTGCAGCTATTCTGTCATCTTCTCTTAGATGTAGTCTGGATCAAGTATGCTATCTCTCATCCTAAACCTTTGTCAGGTTGTCTTTAGATTTCTCCAATGCCTGCCAGTCTCTTGACTTCACATACTGTGCTTCCCTTCCAGAGCTGAGAACAAGTATTTGCTGTTGACAGTTCCATGCACATCGTAGACAGGCAAAATTTTCAGAGCTGATAACGGCTTAATAATAAAAAGGCTGCATCAGGAAGCCTAAATAGCCCTCCTTTATTCCTTTGTGGTAATTGGCAGCCACATATTCAGGTTTTAATTTCTTGCCCCAAAATGAGACAGGGAAGTGTCCGTGGATTGATGTTTGCCACCCTGGTTGGTTTTTCCTTCCTCTCATCTTGGAGTGAACCTTTTGCATTTGCCTTCGAGTCTAGATTATGGGCGCGTTGATATTGGATTGAGGAAGGCCCTTCCATCGCCCTTAGCTAATTCATGTAATTCTTGCAAACACTGCTAATCCTGGCAGTCAAGCACTCAGTGACTCCCGGCAAGCAATTTATTTCTTGCTGCCTCTCAGTTTTGGAGAGATTCTGCTTTCCCATCATTTTTTGCGTGCAAAAGAATCGGGGTGCTCCCATTTCATGTGGGCTTCTTAGGAAAGACAGGAGCGGTCATTCAGCAATACATGTACAGAATGAGCAGAGGTGTACAGATGACAGGGTCTTAACTGCATAATGGCAACAATGATCTTACCCAAGCAGTTCCAAAACCCTGAAGCTGGTCTGGCTGGCTGGTCTGTTTTTGATATGATAATGGGGAAAAGCCAGTGTTGGTGGCATAGTCTATGTACAGGTAAAAAAAATATGCGAAACCCCAACCTGATGCATATGCAGTCACCAATTCAAACCCAATCAACACAACATCCATTACAGAATGAATGAAGGACTAGGATAGGTTGGGCCATGTTATGGGCCAGGAGTCTGCTTCACTGCTGAACAGTAGCCTGAAGGCAGAAAGCAGAGTGACTCCACCTGCTTCTGATCAGCCATCAAGGACTCAGAAGTAGAGGTGCTGATGAGAACCAGCTGGCTCCAGCTTTCCTAAGCAGGGCTTCCAGCCTCAGTCAGTTTCTGGAAACAATGTGGTTTCTGGTCCAGCCTTGCTGCTTTTTGCTCCTTTTGGGTCATCGGATACCTTGACCCCTGGACTTTCTGACCACGTGAGCTGCTGTAGGCCTGACTTTAGGACTGGAGCTGACTTTGCTTACCAACTCTGCCTCTAGGCAAGTACCCTTTATAAAAAACGGTTTTATTGGGGGGTTTTGTGTTACAAAGCAAACAGATAAACAGGGGATGGTGCATCTATTGTCTCCACTTTCAATTCAGTCTTTTTCACAGTTGGTTTCTGTTTGGCGAGAGACCATTTTTATTTATATTGCAAGAGGTTAAGAGTTCCCAGGCTGCTTGAGAGTAAGTGACTTATGAGTTCCTTATAGTGTTTGTGTGTGTTGCTCTCCTGGAAGAAATTTAATAGGGCGAGTTCTGGAGTTGCTTCTATTACCTGTTTTGTTATTTTGGAAATAACCGAGCAACAGAAGCTTGCCCCGTCGTGGGGATTCGAACCGCCGACCTTCTGATCAAGTCCTAGGCTCTGTGGTGTTAGGTACCATCAATACCGTATTTTTTGCACCATAACACTCACTTTTTTCCTCCTAGAAAGTAAGGGGAAATGTCTGTGCGTGTTATGGAGGGAATGCCTACGGGTGGCATGCCTACGGATTTTCCTCCTCTAAAAACTACGTGCGTGTTATGGTCAGGTGCGTGTTATAGAGCGAAAAATACGGTATATGTTTTAGGGTGAGTTCCCAGTTTCAATGGTGTAGACCAGGTACATCCAACTTCCAAGAGACAGCGATCTACTCCCACTATAAATAAACTGGTTGTGATCCACCCATTGGATTGACCAGAGTAGTTGAGCTTTTTTTGGTGAGGCTTCATCAAAGTTGTTGAGCTTTTTGGGGGGGAGGAATGACCATTGGGTGTGGTTCAGTTCATGTCCTATGTCCTGCTCCCATTGGCATTTAATTGTGGTAAAGTGGTCTGTAGGGTCTTGAAGTTGTATTTTATATATTGTAGATGCCATCCCTTTAATGTGTCTCTCTGTTGTTAGGAGTTTCTCAAAGCTAGTCAGTGGCTTGGTGGCTGCTGTTTTGGTTGCTGGGCTGTTTAGGAAGGCTTGTAGTTGGTGGTGTGTTAGCCCAGGGTATTGGAGTATCCCCTAGTTTATCTTGTATTTCCTGTATTTTTATGGGGTTGTCATTTTTGTAAAAGTTGGTTACCCTTCTGAGACCCTGCTGGTTGGCTGGCCTCACTCCACTGGGCTCTGCAGCACAGGACTTCAACAAGCCAGACTGAAGAAATTTGGACCATTTTAAAATTATTTTCCTGTGGTCATTTACCTGTTTATTTGCATTTTAATGTTAACCAGAAGGCAGACATAGAGGAAGGATCACGCCAATCTACCCTTACATGCTTAGAAATGTGAAATATTTTTTATTAAATATTTAATTTTTTATTAAATAAATAAATACGTATCCCACCCTTCCTCTAAGAGAAGCCCATGGCAGCAAACAAGCATTAAACATATTAAAAATAATTCCCATACAGATGCTGCCTGGGGAAGATCTCTACTTAAAAGGTTCATTGAATAAAGCATGTGCCTAAAATTGTTGCTTTTGAAGTGGACCATTACAGAAACAAAGAATAAGATTATGACCTCATTTCTGTAAAGTTAATCTTGACATAAGCCCCTTTCAAATGATTTGCTCGTGTCTTCAGTTAACTCAGGGGTACACATTTGTTTTGGTCCAAATGGGTAATTGAACCAAATGGGTTTAATCTGGTTCAGTTGTTCATTTGGCTAACAGCAAAGGCGCGAGAGGAATGGGGCCAAGTCCTCTTGGGACTCCCATGCAACTCTTTTATGCCCATTCATTGCATTCAAAAAGAGGGAGGACTTGCTTGGTGTCAAGAGCTAAGCCAGCAGCAAGAGGAGCAGGCATTGTTGTTTGGTCCTAGCAGCCACCATTTTGTATTCCATAGAATGCTTAGAAGCTGGATCGTTCCAGGACATTTTAGGGGAACAAAATGGCCGCCACCATTGAGAACTGCCATTGTCTTCCCAAATGCCCAGGAACAACACTCTGTCTAGCCATTCTGAGGAAAAAATCAAAATGGCGGCTGCCAAACAAAGCAGCACAAAACATCTTAAAAGGTGTTTATCGGGGGGGGGGGAACTCTGCCAAATCGATGCCTCAGAACAAAATAAATGGAAATGAGTAAAATCTGAAACAACCTAGGCTTTCTACAGTGAAAACGTAGAGTCAGAGTGATTGAGGAAAAAATGAACGTATTCTACAGCCCTATAATGACTCTGCGTCTGGGAGTACAGGGCTTCCAAACAAACATACATACACACACACACTTCTGTGGATGTGGCCTTTTAAGACCACAACAAATAAAAGTATATCAAAAATTTGGAGGCTGCCATCACAGTACTTCCTCTATGTGTACAGTAAAACTACCTGAAAAGGGATATACTTTCAGTTTGATTTAGCTAGAGCAATATCTCTGAATATGAAAGGAAAACCAGTTAAAACCTAGCCTCGTAACCATGATTCAAACCTTCCTCTGTCCTCCTGGCTTTCATTAATATTGATTCCCGCTAGCTTTTAGGAATTAACTGCAAAACAGTGAACTATATATAAAATGCAGCACAAGGTTCGTGCACTTGACATTTCGGCAAGCTTATGCAGCGGTGAAAATGTCCACAAGCCGTAAAGCAGGAAATGTGCTGAGGTATATTATTAATAAATTTAGAAAGGTCGTGCACACAAGCCCTCAGGTCAGTAGGGGCAATCTATGTATCCACTGTGCAGTTGCAAAAATGGCTGACGAAGAATACTGATTTCACCCATTATTTGAGGGTCTTGTGGGATGCTAGAGGTCTGAAAGGAATTGGACTAGGCTTGACTTCCAAAGATGATGGTTTTCTTTTTTTATATATAACTTTTTTACTTGATTTTCAAAAACAAAGAAAAACAAAATGAAGGAATAAAGCTACATCAAAATGTCATACACATTCACGTATTGAGATTACTCTGAATTTCCTGACTCCCCCCCCCATCCCATCCATGGGTCCTCTTAATTCTGTTTTCCTCTGCATATCAATACTTCTCCAAAATTTTCACCTTCCTAAATTATCTGTAGTTTCTATTACCTTACAAGTGTATTTAAAATCCCGCTGATGTTT